AAAAGAAAAGAAAAGAAAAGAAAAGAAAAGAAAAGAAAAGAAAAGAAAAGAAAAGATTTAATATAGACTAGACAACCCATGACCTACTGGGTCACTGTTTTAGAGATATTTCCTTACCTAAACTAAAGACAGAATGACCAAGGGCAAAAAAGCAGTGGGAGTGTGATCAACTTGGGACTTGCTGCCAGCTTTCCCACAGACTTTGCTTTTGAGAAGATGACAGGAAGTGTCAGAAAACTCCCTCCCTCCCTTCCTTTTTTCCCTTTTTTCCCTTTTTTCCCTTTTTTCCCTTCCTTCCTTCCTTCCTTCCTTCCTTCCTTCCTTCCTTCCTTCCTTCCTTGCTATAATACAGGTTTGCTCCATTTGCCTCATGACTTTCAGGAGAGCCCCCATGAAGCCTTCTCCTCATCCTCAACTGATCCACAGAACTGCCTGTCACTTTGCTGAGGGGAGTGGAACCAAGGAAGCAGCAGACCGTGAGGAAACCTGCACCCCCACTCCCCATTCCAGAATGTCCCAAGAGCCCCCACCTTCAAGAGAGGAAGAGGGCTCACCTATTGACCACCCATGCCCCCCAGCAAGCCTCACCTCACCAGCAGGCATCCAAGTTACTCCCTCGTCTTTCCCTCAATGCCTACCACCATTAAAAGATTTCAAATTCTGGCCATGGTTCCAAAGCAGTCAATCAACACTCACCCATTCAGCCTTGCCACCAGCAATTGGGCACAGGGGACAAGGGATATTCCTATGAAGATCATGTGACCTGGGCTGACCATGGTGGCACAGCAGCACAGCAGTGTGAAGCAGCCACAAATTTTCCAAATTTCAATCGCATGGGAGTTATGGGTCCCAGACTTTGGAGGCATTATGTAAGTTAGCCCATTGGAGTTACCTTGGTTCAAAAATTGTTGCCCTATGATGCATTGTTTTGCCCAGTTGAAGGTTATAGACACAAAAGCTTTAGTAGTACATAGATAAAAAGGTAATGGGGATTGAGCAACAAACAACATGAGACGGAATTTGAAAATGAATTGTGTACAAATGATGAGCACATCATTGCAAAATTGTAAATTGTGGATGAGGACAGATTTACTGCACACTGACCTGGCCCTCAGCAGCAATAGCCAGAGTCCAGGGCCACCAAGGAGCTGTCAGCCCTTTAAGGCAGACCAGACTACCTTTATCAGACCATTGTCTAGGCTGTGGCTCTTCCTTCTGTCTCTCAAAGTTTTTCTCACTGTGATTACACTTTCTCAAATTACATTTCTGCCCTGGACTCAGAATTCATTTATCTGACTGCTGCCTTGGTTGCAGTTCTTCCTCCTGTTTCTCGAGTTTATTCCTACTGCTCAGAACAGGATCATATAACCTGGCCGTGAAGAAAGATCCTGGGGCTGGACAATGGGATCACTCTCAATCAGTGAGCCTGACATCCCCGAGTCAGGCTCCATTCCCAGATCCCACCGTATCTTCCCCTGCCCATCACACTTCCAATGTTCCTGCTCACCCTCTTTTCTCCCCCCAGATGCCTCTGTCTTGCATACTCCTCCCAGGCCAGGGCATTCATTTACCCCTACACATACCACACACAAACCTCCACTACAGCCACTCACGTAATCACACACAGCCACACCCAGTCTTCACAGCAAGGCCCCTCCCACTCCTTTATGGCCACACCTGCCCCTGGCATTTGGGAGCCTATGGAGGGGGTGTGATCCTCCTGTGGGACTAAGCCCTAATGCACAGCATAAAACCAAGATCCTCCCTCCACCTGGTAGGGGAACAAAATGGAAAACAAGTGAGCAGCCAGATGATAGTCCCTAAGTCTGGAAGAGAGGAGCCAATAGGTCATTGTCCAGTCCCATGTCCTGAGGACCATTCCACAGGCTCTGAGATGGGCAGCGTAGATCTTCCAATGCCAGAAATACCTCCCAGTGTAGTAAGGTTAGAACATTATAAATGGAGGAAATGTGTTATATTTCGTAGCACAAAGAACTGAATGTCCTTCTCTTTGAAACATTCTTCGTGGGGTTTATTCCCCACAAAAATTTTTGCCCACCAGTGAGTTCTGTAATCACAACAGTGATATCTTGGAATGCATGATATATCTGTATAATATTCATGTAACTGGGTTGTTGATTAATTATGTTTTGCAGATAGAAACTCCTTGTGTGAATTTATCTGCCATCAGGCAGAAACCTTTTGGACATGAGATTTTATCAGTAGTGGACAAGAAAGGAACAAGACCCCTTTGAGA